TTCTTGGTCGTAAGATGTTTTGATGGTGGATTATATTCTGTATTACTATTACTCCTAATGTCATATATGTGTGTGTATGTATATATAATATATATATATATATATATATATATATATATATATATATATATATATATATATATATATATATATATATATATATATATATATTTTTTTTTTTTTTTTTTTTTTTTTTTTTTTTTATATTATACTTTTTTTTATGCCATGCATGTAATAACAGAATAATTATGTAATTTACAATTTGCAGCCATGAACGAAAAGGACCTGATAAAAGTTACCTTTCACCGAGCAAGTACTGGAGAATACCACTGCCCTGTATTGTACAAGCCCCTCACCAACACCTCTCACGTGGTTGCAGTCAAGACAACTGGCAATGTCTTCTGTTATGAAGTGAATATTTTATATAATTAGTTATTTCTCACTTGGTTTTGTATTAGGACAACATTAAAAATAATTGCAAATAGGATTTAGGATTGTCTGATGAATAATGTAAAAAAAAAGAAAGTAAAGAATGGCAATAAGTAATATGAAGATATATAGATAAGAACTTTTTAATTCTACAAAATTTATTTTGTTTCTACAACTAAAAGCAATGTTTATTGTACTGGTAGATGTTTTAAATGTTCATCGGAATTTTATTTGCATATGTTTATCTATCTTTTAGGCCATACACAGCTGAATATTAAAGTCAACAACTGGAGGGAGCTCCTCACAGACAAGCCCTTCACCCGCAATGACTTGATTATCATCCAGGATTCTCAAGACCTGACCAAGTTCAACATCAGCAAGTTCATCATGTCGTAAAGACCTTAAAGTAGAGGTATGAGGGTGAGTGGGTTGTACCTTTGGTTTCGTAAAATGTTTGTAGAAATAGTTTTTAGATCTGAATTTAAAAAAGAGAAGGATTATATGCAGTTGTAATGTTTGTATATTTTTACCAGTGCCTCATTAGAGATCCTGTTTTGTGCCATTGAAAATTAGTATTGCATTGGTTTGTACACATTCCTAGAGCAAGGTTTTCATTTACAGAGACTGTTTAAAGCTCGTTCAGATGCATCCATGAGACTGAGAATGTTTCACGAGATACTCAGCAGATCCTGGAAGAGTTCAACAAAACCTACACAGATGATGGTCCAAAGGAGGAAGCAGGAGAACGAGTAGTAGCAGATAAATTTAATGCGGTATAACTTTTCTCAGACTTGAATTGAGTTTTATTTAATGAGTAATTTTTCTCTGTTATATTGCAATTTTTTTTTTTCTGCTTATGCTGTAGTAAATTCAGTTTATTGTAGATCTTCAGTTTTGTCTCCTCAGAAATACAAATTCTTTAACTCTTTAGATATGATAAGTGATGTTTTGACAAGTTTAATGCAGACTGACATTCTCAGATGTAGACTTCTATATGATGAATAATTTTTCTCTGTTCTTTTACAAGATGTATTTTTCTGTTATAGTACACACAGGCAAGTGTGTATAAGTAGGTGGATAATATATTTTGTGATTGAAAATTCACCACGATTTCATAAAAGATAATAGAATGATGAATTTGTTTCACCGAAGGCTCACATTCAACTGGGAAAGTAGCAGCAGCTTTACCTCAACTTCAGTAGATGTGGAAAACAAAACACAGCAAAAGCAGCAGTACTAGAAGACGATGTGTTGTCAGATATCAGAGGGTTAAAAAAAAGGGTATGATGTAGTGTATGTTATATACACATAATGAATTACGAGCCAGGATAATAGTTTGAGTACAGAGTTATAGTTATAGAGTTGAGTTATAGTAAGAGTTATAATATAGTTTGTTTTTCTGGCAAATATCTTAAATCTGTGTTATGGTCCATAGGTTATGTTTCCCTCAAGAAAATTTGGGTACATTGAACTTGAAGTGTACTGTTACACCGTACCAAAGCCTTCCAGAGAACTCAATAAGGTTATGTGATCGTGGATATTAACAAGGGACACCAAAATTCCATAGATTCAATTAGACATTTCATGGTCAGTGCCTTAGTATGTAAATAGAGATGAAACTTGCCTTCTCATATAGGAAGTAACATTGTAATGTATTTTAAATATAATAGAGTGTGTCGTTCGTAAATTGCTTGACATGAACCATGGTGAACTAGATTTACTTCCGTTAAATTCAATTCTTAGGACATTATCATGGCCTTACCCATATTGAGGATTAATCTTTTACATAATTTACTTACCTTTCCAACCAGTGTAGTCCATCATCTAACTATCCTAACTAAGAATAACCTAAAAAGAAATCTATTGTGATACACCATAATTTATTTGTCCTCCCTCACGAGAAAGAAGGCTTTAAAACTTTTAATATATACAGATACAAGGAGGAGATCAGAAGGTACAGGCAAAGGTGGAGAGTCCATTTGGGGAACCATCAAGGATGAATTTCGGCCCAACTGTCCATAAGGGAAGAGGAGTTCTCTCTATGGCCAACTCAGGGACTGACACCAATTAAAAGCAATTGCAAGTATAATTTCAATCCCTTTTATAAAGCATTTAGATTTAGGGTGATCCTGCAGTACAGAAGGATTATTGAAGCATTTGTATGTTTGTGTCGTCCTTTTTCCTTTTCGTTCCGATAACAAACTCTAAACAAAAATTCAAGTGACTCGATTAATAAAGAAGTTTTCGAACTTATAGTAAATGGATATAAATTCAAACTGTTATTTCTTCTGCTCCTTTTTCTTCTTCTTTTTTCCTATTTCTTTTCTTCTCTCCTGCTCTCTGCTTCTTCTTGTTATTTTCTGCCTCGCTTATTGTTACATATGGGTTTTTCTTTTGCCATGTCACAAATAAGCACGTCTTGCAATAATTGATGTATGAGTCCATTTGCGTTAAGTTTCCAAAACTCATTATTGACCATACTTGAATTTTGTGTTTAGTTTGTTATATGAAAGAATCATGAGTGTACTCTAAGATGTATGAGTACACACATTACAAACACAGCTCTGGAGATTTTTATTTCTCTCAAATGTTGTTGCTTTATGAAATTAAATAAATCAAGAAAAAATGTGCAGATTGTCGAAAACTCATATACATTTTTTTCATTGTATCAAAAATGTTACTAGATTTATAGTTTTCAAAAATGATACTAATTTCTTTATAGTTTTTTTGGTTTCAAAATGATATAGATTTTCTTATGTACAATTTTGTGCCCAAAAAAAATATATATATTTAATAAAATATGTAGTGAAAGCATCTAAGCTTACAATATAGAAATCATTTTAGTAATCAAATCGTACTAGCGAAGTAAACTGAATTAACACAAGATTTTAATGTACTGCTTGTTTGTTTTACAGCTTGATTAAATACAGATCGTGTACTCACCTTGAATGGCAAACAACCATATATTGGGCGAAGTTGTGGGTGCGTTCTTTCAACATTATCAGGAAAGGGAGGCATAGAGACAGACAACAAGGAGTTCAATGAGGGACATCATTATCCAGGAGGCCACAGTATTTGAGACCCTTAAGGAAGAAGATGTGGAGGTTTGTATAGAACTTATTTTTAACTTAATGGAATTTCTTATGGATCATTTTAATCCTTAACCCATGTGAAACTAGGGCGATCCATTGTCCACTTTCGTTTTGCCTTTTTCAGTCAAAATGTATTCAGACTATTCAGCAAGCCAACAAATTATGGCCATGGTGTTACATTACTTAGAGAAGTGATTGTGGTGTCAGTACTTGGCAATAGGTCGACTACAATTGTTTCATCTTTTTAATTATTTTTTTCTGCAATAAAAAAAGGTCGTTCCTAAAAGTACACTTGTAATTTAGGACATTACCAAAACCCAGGGGGAAAAGATAGCAATGTAATCAGTATTCATCAGTGAGCATAGTGTTGAATTATATGTCTTAGCTATGTATGTGTAAAAATAATTTTGAAACTAAAACTCAATGAACTGGCATGTATTACAAGCCATCTTGGCAACCTGTCACCCAGGTCCTCAGCCAAATTGTTTCATGATGGCATGTGATCACATCATCCATTCTCAACCCAAAATTTCATGTGAAGTGATGCGTTCACACCATCTGATGAAGGGAATAATGGACTAAACAGTGTCTAGCATGAATGTGTGAGAGAAGGAGAAGAAGCAAAATGGCTGTTTTTTTAATATGTGCTCAATTTTTTGTTGTAGCTCCTTTTTGTTAATATTTACAGGTACAACAAGCAGGTAAGTTGGAAGGTATCCCCTGAAAATGTACATTATAAAATTAATACATGCAACAGGAAAGCATGAAGACAGCTGTGAGACTGCTTATTTTTATTATGATTTATGAATTTATCTATACACAAGAGCCCAGGAAATCTAACAAATACATGATGAGTGGTGAACTTAATGGTTACTTAATTTGTTCTTCAGTTGTATGATATCAGGTGTTCGTTATTGGATCAAATCCTGGGATGGTCCCTTTCTAATTAAAGGATATAACATCTTCAAAAAAAAGTACAACTTCTGAATGCCTATTTTGTGTATATTCTGGTGTTTTTTTCTTAACCATATACATTTAGGCTTTCGACTGATCCATGTCATGCAATGATATAATGATAACAATAATCATAATTCTAAAGTTCTGGAAAATCTCTTTCTGAACATAAATATTATAAGCACAGAGGAGTTTAATGAATCATAAGTTCATTCTGGATTTCACCTAATTTTGCCGATATAATAAATGATGCAAAGGAACCTATGTAATTTTAAAAAGTCTTGTTTTTGGCTTCGTTTTGTGCTTATCAGTTTTTCCGCAGATCCAGATTTTAGGCGTTACTGCTGTTTTTTAAATGTATGGTGATATCGTGGTCCAAGTAATCCTGGATATTATATGGCATATTCACAAGTTTTGAATTGCATGATGAAGTACCAGTCAAGAACTTCATGTGTTGGCTAACTGATAATTTATATAGTATGTTTACTGACCAATGTTTCATACAGATTGCAGAAGAGAGGCGACTTGATATAGAGAAAAGAAGGCTGAAAGATGAGCTTAAGAATAGAAAACGGACCAAAGGTAGTGAGGACAGTTCAAGTTGTTTCGGTTGGAGTGGCACGTCTGACTTAGGAAAATCATCAGTTTCGTAAGTACCGGCCTACAAATGCTAGATGACTTGTCTTATAATAGCTGAATATTTTGATGAAGCTCAGACTTTATCTTACCTAATCCAGATAGGAAAATCATATTCTTACCTTTTAAAGATCATTTAATTACTATAGCTTATATGAATAGTTTATGGTTTGAATTTTGTACCAAAAATGTTATATTAAAAGCATTTCTTCCCCAGAAAAGAAGAACTTCAAACATCATCACAACAGAGAAGAAGAAGGATGCAACATATGCTTTAAGGATTCAGTATTTTCTAAGACTAATTGTGAGAATGGATTTACTCAGAATAACATTACTTACAAGAGTTTTCCCAAAAGTGAGATTTGGGTTTTGTTCCCATATTTTATTGTAAGATGCAAGTGGTATCTGTACAGTTAAACATTATTATTTAGAGCGAATTGTACTTTTGGAATATAATAAACTGTAAATGATATGTGGCTATGACATCTATATCCAATTGTTTTAGGAAAGAGTACTTGTGTTTTAAACCTTTCACAGAAGGGTCTCTATGACTAAAGGCCAAATAATTAGTTTCCAATTATAAACTTTGATTGTCCAAGCCAAAGTGCCTAAGTGGCAAGGCGTAAATAGATGTGTGCTTTGTCTTCTCCATGTTTGGATCCTGGACGGTGAATGAAAACCTTCACAGTAAATTTTTTTCAGGTTAAATTCAAGGATCATTAATCCTAGATAGACATGCCTCTGTTGTACCATATTCAAATTAAGGAGAATGTCATTTCTTTTAGGAAAATTATTTTTTGGAAGCTTGGCTATGTTATATATGTAGAAGATAAGTTTGTACCATCTTCTTGTAAGGTTACAGATCTAAGATTTGGATCTTGGTACAGTGCTCCAAACTACATACAATGTTAGCATCACTAATACAGGAATGTCCAGTTAGTTAATGCAAGACAAAGCAGCTAATGGACACATCCTTGTTAGCTCTTGTTGGACGATCTTCCAGAATTGTAGGTCTTCTGTATGTGCCATGAAAGTTAAACTAGTATTAAAGATTAATCCAAATATCTAATGTACAGTGCAATGCTACAGTGTCCAGGATTTTACTTTTATTCAACTCGGGGACTAGGGCTTTACTTTGAGCTCAAAGTTAAATCCTGTACACACGCAGAAGGACCTAGTTAATCCCAACAGGCGTGTATTGATATGTAATGGCAATGTCATCAACTCCATAGAGATGGGGAGTTGATTGCCATTAATTTTATAATAAGCAATAATGAAACAATTTTGAACATGTCTCATGTCAAAGAGTATGTGCCAAAATTCAATATATATTTTTAGAAGTTTGTTGGATATTCAAACGCAGAAATAACTCTCAACATTGAAACGAAAAAACAAATAGAAAATTACCCAATGAGAATTCCAGGAGTTTACAGACACAGAAAGGCGCAAAATGCTATTCCAGGTGGAAAAAACCATTCCAACTTTATGCAATATATTAATCAAAATAATAAATATAAGAAAAGCTATTGCACCATGATTAGGTTTCAAATTCAAGTAAAAAACTTCCTGATTCTTTTATTAAAATATAGTTGCATCAAAACTGCTGTGGGCATTTGTTATATGACCTCACTAGCCAACATGCTTGAAAAAACAACCCTACCGTTGCCCCATGTGAAAGAGCTCTCAGAAAAATAACTCCCAATGAAGTATAAATTGATCCAACTTGATCTTGGGGAGTCTGTTATGGTAATGATTATGGCCAGAATCGACAAGCTAGACTGATCTTGTTGGGGTAGTTGATGAGTTAGTTTGTTTAGACAGGAAGTCTGTAGAAGGATAATAAGCCTGGTGGCATTGAGTCATGACCTTGCTCAGCAAGAATATTTGACATCACTGGATCTGTGAAGAGGGAAAAACAATATGCCAACAAGGGCACCCGATAATGTTGGTCTCTACTGTTAGGTAATGAACCTAGGAACTTTATCCTGTGCATTGGAATCTCATCTGGTTGTGCCTCTTGCAAAATGTACATCAGGTTACGGGTACCGTTGGCTGAGCTGTGCCAAACCTGATAACACCCTTGAGAGACAGTGTATATAGAACTGTTTTCCATATCTGAAACTACCAATTCAGGCTATTTGGCACTTGCTGACTCCTGAGGATTAAATCCTTTCTACTCGGTGTGTCTCTGTAGAAAAACCCTGGGTGGAGGATGGTAATCAGGCTTGGGCAAATTACCAAAATCTGTCATGAGTAGAGATAGGTCCTCTGAATCGCATCGCAGCTTGTATGAAGGACGCATGTGGCTGTAAACGACAGCATTTGCCCTCTCAATTGCGTGAATTTTTTCTTGTTAAGTAGATTTTTAACATGTTAGTGAAGAAACCAA